AAGGAAGGAGAAAGAAAGAAAGAAAGTGAGAGAGGAGGGAGAGAGGGAGGAAGGAGGAAGGAGAAAGAAGGAAGGGAAAAGAAAGTGAAAGAAAGAGAGAGAGAGAGAAGAGGGAGAGAGGAAGGAGGAAGGAGGGAAGGAGAAAGAAGGAGGGAGGGAAGATCAAGAAATAAATAAAATGAAATAAGGAAGGAATGAAGGAGAAAGAATGAAGGAAGGCAGGGAGGAAGGAAGGAAGGAACAAAGAAAAATGAAAGAGGAAGGAGAGAGGAGAGAGGGAGGGAGGAAGGTTAGAGGAGAGGAAAGGTGGCAGGAAGCAGGGATGAAGGAGGGAGAAAGAAGGAAGGGAAAGGAAGAAGGGAAAAGAAAAAAGGAAGGAACGAAGGGAGGGAGGAAGATAAAGTAAGAAGGAGAAAAGAGGAAGGAAGAAAAGAAGGAAAGAAGGGAGGAAGAGAGGATGGAAGGAAGAATCCCAAATAATCGGATCCCACCCATATGTGTGTGGCAGAGCCTTCCTAAACTGATTCATCTTCCTCAAAAACATTCAACGCAGCTTCACTCCCCAAAATTTTTTCCCTCCTTCCCACCTGACATAGGTAAAGATAAAGGTTCCCTTCACATGTATGTGCTAGTCGTTTCCGACTCTAGGGGGCGGTGCTCATCTCCGTTTCAAAGCAGAAGAACCAGGGCTGTCCAAAGACGTCTCCGTGGTCATGTGGCCAGCATGACTAAATGCTGAAGGTACACGGAACGCTGTTACCTTCCCACCAAAGGTGGTTCCTATTTTTCTACTTGCATTTTTACATCCTTTTGAACTGCTAGGTTGGCAGAAGCTGGGACAAGGAATGGGAGCTCATTCCATTACGTGGCGCTAGGGATTCAAACCGCCAAACGGCCGACCTTTCTGATCGACAAGCTCAGCATCTTAGCCACTGAGCCACTGTGTCCCTCACCTGATATAAGGCTTGCTTAAATTTCCCCATCTTCTTACCTCCCTTAAGATTCTATTTACAGATTTTACTTCTTGCATGTTTTTCAAAGCAAAGCAAATAGTTGAATAGCAATTCATACCCGCCATATATATTTTTTTTCATTCAAGTTCCACGCTCGGCAATGTCGCACGAGCAACCTGTCATTGGCGGGGGGGGAAAGAAATCAGAGACTGTAACAATGCATTTGTGAACTTACAACCTAAGCAGTGCTTCCATTTTTCTATTACGGTGCGATTTTAGCATTTCAACGATTAAAAAAAAAACACATGCAGGGAGAGCTGAGAATTCATTATCTCTTACCTAAACATTGAGGGGTGTTTAGCAATTAAATGCTGTAACCTGCACTGAAATTATGTATTTATTCAACAAGGGAAGCTGCGTTTGGCGAGATATTTCACCATCTCAGAAGTCATTAATTGTTTCTTTGTTGAAGAATATCATTTGCTTCATGGGCTACACAATGCTTGTCTTGTAAGAATGCTAATATTCCAGAATGAAAAGCTGCAGGCATGTCCGGCTTCGTTATAAATTCCTGTTTATCGTTTAAAGCTGCCCAGAATCACCCTGTGGTTAAGGCATGTGGCAAATAAATTTAATTAATGAATACATACATGCACACGGTTGGAGGTAATATCCATCTGGTTCTGGTTCAGTTCCAAGCGGGGAGAAAGACACTGGGAATATGGAGGCTGATTGGAAAGATGGTTTAATGGGGCAGAACCATTAAGCTCTTGGTGCAGCTGAACACATGGAGTGGAGAGTGAGGGTTATTTATACCCTCTCTTGGCCTTGTCCTTGAGCTTCCTGTTAGATTCTGTAAGATTGTAAGCTAGACTATAAAATCTATATCTAGCTCTATATCTGTCGTCTGTCTGTCTGTCTATCATCTATCTATCTATCTATCTATCTATCTATCTATCTATCTATCTATCTATCTATCTATCTATCTATCTATCTATC